TCTACTGGGGAAGTGCCCGCAACCCAGGTACATGCCCTTGACCGGAATCGAACCTGGGACCTTTCAGTCCACAGGCCGACGCTCTATCCACTGAGCCAAACCGGTTTCGGCGAGAATTATTGATTAGCTGCCTCCTGCATGCCCCCCCGCCCCTCCACCCAGGGGATCGAGCCCGCAACCTGGGCATGTGCCTCTGGCCAGAATAGAACCTGGGACTCCTCAGTCCATAGGTGGACACTATATCCACTGAGCCAAACCAGCTAGGGCGGAGTTCATCTTTTAAGGGCCAATTCTGACTAACTGGCAGCAGCTGCCTAGAATGCTGTGTGGAGAACTGTGACACTGTGACAAGGGTTAATGAGAAAAGTGCTGCACTGATTAGTGATGGGCAATGGGGCACATGATCACAGTATACTTATGTACAAGTTCTAAATATGAGACAAGGGCAAAATTTCAAACTATATCCATAAAATCCCTATTTACTCTCTACTAGTGAGTGTAAAATCCTATATAATAAAAGGGTAATATGCAAATTGACCCTAACGGCAGAATGACCGGGAATGACCAGTCACCATGACGTGCACTGTCCACCAGGGGGCAGACGCTCAATGCAGGAGTTGCCCCCTGGTGGTCAGTGTGCTTACACAGGGGGAGCGCCGCTCAGTCAGAAGCCACCTCATGGCTGGCCCATGCAGCAGCAGTGGCAGGAGCCTTTCCCATCTGTGCAGCAGCACTAAGGATGTCCGACTAATGGCTTAGGCCCGCTCCCGGAGCAGGCCTAAGCCGTTAGTCGGACATCCCCCAAGGGCTCCCAGGCTGCCAGAGGGATGTCTGACTGCCACCTTAGGTCCACTCCCCCCAGGGTAGTAGATCCCCTGAGGGGTAAAAGACTGCAAGAGGGCACAGGCCACGCTGAAAGACCGCCCCCCAACCCCCACAACAAGTGCATGAATTTTCGCGCACTGGGCCTCTACTATTTTAATAAGAGCACCAATCTGTTACAAAAAAACTCTGTATATTTTTAAAGCACATTTTTATTCAATATAACTGCTTTTAGGAATAATCAATATCTATAGAACTTATATGAACAAGACTTGCTACTGAATTTTTGCCTAAACAATCTCCATCTTAGTCAAGTTAAAGACTTTCTCCCTTCCCCCTGCCTTCACTTTTGTTTATATTACTTTAGTAACCGCCATTATTTGAGAAACTTCTACCACAAGGTACCAGGGCACACTGCATGAGTCAGTAGGTAATGGCAACAGTCCAGAAATGTAGATGCCAAAATTTCACATCCTTTATTTGTCATTCTTCACAATGAGAAGTTTAATGACTGCATATCATTCTAGTCCTGCTTTCATGGTTCATGCAATCACAAAACCGAATCCCAGCCAAAGAGTCCAATGTTTCTCCTTTTTATTTTTCCCTTCTATTTTTAGCCCAAGCCTGGGTGTGTTTAACTTTGTGCTACAGTTGTAATGAAAAACAGACATATGCAGACAAACTTAGCAGTGCTTAAGGGATTCCACAATAGTATTTTGTTAGGTTGGTATAGGAAATTAGTTCTAAATTATATATAATTGCTATCCAATCCACAGATGACAGTTAAGGAGTCTATGGACTTCTTGATTTCCTTTAAAAAAAAATCAGTGCAGGAAGGAAAAATCAAAAGAAAAAACTGACATACCATGTGATGTAGCGATGTCACAGATTATGTTAATTTCATCCAATGGCAACTTCCAGGAGGCACATTCTTCAGTGAAGGTTTGAGATCTTCCATCATGTCTTTCTATTGGATACTCCTGTATGTTTATAAGTGCTGGACCCTATAATAAAGTAGTTTATCTGAGTTAAGAAATTTGGGTAGTTACCAAAATGTAGAAAAGCTGTAGTTCTTCCAAAATACAGACTTTACATTCAAGTAATCAATATCTTGATATCTCTCTTCTTATTTTATTGACTTCCATGGCATTTATAACAATAATACCATAAGATTGCATTTATAAATGCTTCCACATGTGCTGTTATTTAATTTCTCACTTTATTTTCTTTTTTACTCATAAAACATACCAGATGTAAAACCCCATAGTATTTCTCATTATTTCATTTCTTTCTAAGCCAAGAGCAACTTTGAATGCCAAGTACTGGGACTCAGAACTGTCCAAACCAGGAGAATAATTTGTAAATTAATGAATCAGAGCCTGATATAGTTCCACTGCAAAGATGATTATTACATCACTATACAGAATGTAATGGCTAACCCTGGGTCTTTGAAATAAAATATAAAAAACAGTAACAACTGAAATTAAAAACAACTCACTGATAATTAAAAAAAGGTAGAGTATTTCACACATGCTAAAATATTATTCAATAGTGACATAAGCAGAGGAAAAAATTTAATAATGTTATTGCTATTAGTACTGGGTACTCAGATATGGTATCCTGGAAATTATATAGATATAACTAAAATTTCAATGATTTGTATACAGTCAGTCCTTAACTAATAAAAAAACTGTTTGGGTTAGATATTGACTACTGTGGCATGCATGCTCCCTCACCCTTTCAGAATAGTCTCTGTATCTCAGGAGCAAGAAGGCTAGAAACCAGATTTCTCATAGTCCCTTGCAGCAAGGGTTCTGGATGAGATTTAGTTCTACCAATTATATGCACTCGCATGAGATTTGGAAGGCAGAAGAGATAGGGGCCGTCTTCCTGCAGCTGTAGTCTACAAGGAGTCTCTCACTAAAATGAACCATCAGATTCTATGCTCTCCTGCAAGCATTGATCAACAATCCACCCTGGTCAACCCTGATTCACTGCCTGCTTTTGTAAATAAAATTTTACTGGAACATAGACACACTCATTTGTTAAAGTACTGTCTAAGGCTGCTTTTGTGCTACCATGGCAGAGTTGAGTAGTTGTGACAGAATCTGTATAGTCACAAAGCCTAAAATATTTACTACCTGATACTTTAGAGAAAAAGTTTGCCGATATGCTTTGTTGTGTAGTGCTCAGCAACAGGGGTAGTAGCAAAAGCAGAAACACTGATCCTGAAACTAAGTCCTTTTGTTCTTTCTAAAAATTTCATAAGCATCTAATTCCCTACAATAAATCTCTTATTGCTTGAAATACCAAGGAAATTTGTAGGGAATTAGATTTTGTGATAGAGGGGTTTCCATTGCAACTAGTGATTGATACTCTTTTCCTTTGCCTTTTTACAAATATATTGGAGTAACTGTCCTAGAATAACACACAAGATATAAAGGTTAACTCTTAGGAATTCTACTGACCATTAGCAATTCTCTACATGGAGTCTCTCAGAGGCCAGACTAACTTAAGAGTTCGCGCAGAAGCTCAAGCTATCCTAAAATAACATCAGAACAAGTCATTTCTGAGTTTATATGAATTTTCTCCAGTGAAGATATATAAAAATCTGTAACATTCAATATTTTAATGAGGAAGTAATATCAACCTTTATGTCTATATGATGAGTTTCTGCAGGACACAACAGTTTCTGCATTCCATCTCTTGACTGGCCCACGGTCCAGTAGCCCATGAATGTCTGCTCTGGCAGAGGCAACCTGTCAAGGAGGATTTGAAAAGTAAACATTCTTTCTTGTTTCTAAGTCACAGGAAAATATAATGCACCATCTATTATCAACTACACAAATAAATATGAAGAATGCTTAACTTGAAAGTCCTTTACACGTTATTAAGAGTCTATAAAACCATGTTTAGAATGTACTTTAAGATGCCACTTTTCTGAAACTGAGAAAGTAAAGTCCTACTCTGTTTTTACCTTAATGACAAATATAATAGATTACATATATTTTCCTTGAATTGGTAAAATACTTAGCAATTTGACATCTAAATTCCTAATAGAGTATAGGAAGGATTTAGGCAAAAAAAAAAAGGGGGGGGGCGGAGCAATCTATCAAATTTTCAGTATATTCTTTTAAATTTGGAATAAAATAATAAATAATACACAATACTACCGGTCACATGGTTGTACGTTGTACAGGACAAGTTTCATAGACTCTATTTAGCACCTTAATTTTTTCACTTTGAATTGAAATATTATATAACGAAACATTCACATAAATGTGCCATTTAGTCCTGAACACACCAGCACCCAAAGAAACAAAGCATCACCAGCTCCCAGGAAGCTCCTCGGGGCCACTTTGGTCATTGTACTCAGGGAGTGCTATCCTGATTTCTAATGAAGTTGGTCTGTGTTTAGATTCCTTTTTATTTAAAATGACTTTTAAATAAAGTGACTTGCCAAAACACAGATGGCAATGCTAAAGTACAAAACCACAGACAAATTTTTGAGAATAAAGTCTTCATTTTTAATCATACTATCTTTTCTTTGAATTTTTAAAATGGAACCATGAATTTGTCATTTAATTAATTATAAAGTTCTTATTTCTTGGTAAGTTGATGAAAACAATAACTCAGAATTAAATTTCTTTTCTTTTCTTTTTCTTTTTTTAAAAAGCACATGTAGATATAAATTAAAATGCATTCTTAGAATGAGTTTGATGATCATTAAAAGAGTACATATTCACATTTTAAAACCATTTTATTTCAGTGAGAGTAGTCTGACACAATATTTCCATATGCTTAATAAGACCACATAAGGTTCAGACATTTTTGGCATAAAATAACAGGATCAAGCATTCTGGTAGAATATGCTCTTTGGCCTTTTGAAATAATTAACATAAAAGTAATAATATTCGTTGATGTCATCTTATGCAAATCTCTTAAAAGGAAGTGGGTACTTTTGTGTCTAACATCTAAAATACATTTCAAATTATTCTGATTGGTCACCCACTTATTTCCATGTTTTACTGGAAGTGAGATAGGAAGGGCACGGAGCCAGGGGATTACTATTATGTTCTCTCTATTAAATGCAATGAAGATCTATGCAGACTTTGGAGAGGAAAAGTAAGCTAATTTCTCTGAGTGTTAATTTCTTCCTTTGTGAAATCAAGGGGAAGATCTGTACGGTTCCTTAGAGGTGGAGTAGCCTCTGAAGATCACTGAAGTGAGACAAGGGAAGTGTCAGCGGTAGATTCAACAATGTTGTATTACCTTGGTGCTCTGGAGTGAAAATAAAACAACCAAAATGAAAATATCTATACCTATCAATAGAAATAGGTGCCCTGAAAGGCATGCTTTACTAATTAACTTTTTTTAAAAAAAGGTACTAGAATCTATTCCAGTACCACATAAGACGACGTGTATGGGCAACCACAACTACAACTGAAAGCACATCTGCAGGGTGTCCTGGAGCTGCACAATCAAACTGGCTCCATCCAGCTCTTTGGTCACATCAAGTGTTGTTTCCAGACTTTCCCAGGGGGCTCCAGGTAGGCCAATGGATGTAAACCAAAGCTCCTCACTTATTTTCCACTAAAAAACTCTCCCAATAAGCTGTGGAAAGATTTGATGGTTACTAACTCGCTCCCCTTCGCTAAGTTAGTAGTCAGGGGAAAAGAGAAGCATTAAAATTGGATGCATGAGCAAGCTCTGAATTTGAAGCATAATAAACATTAGCTTGGGTAGAACTCTAAACTAATAACTAGTTAGCAAAAGATACTATATACCATTATTAAAATACTAGAGGCCCGGTACATGAAATTTGTGCACGGGATGGGAGGGGGTCCCTCAGCCCAGCCTGCACCCTCTGGCAATCTGGGACCCCTTGAGGGATGTCCAACTGCCGGTTTAGGCCTGATCCCTGCAGGCAGTCAGACATCACTCTTGCAATCTGGGACCGCCCGCTTCTAACCGCTTGCCTTCCTGACTGCCCACTCATAACTGCTGCCTGCCTGCCTGCCTGCTCAGTGCATAGCGACCAGTCATTCTAGTCTTTCTGGTCGTTCCCGTCTTTCAGTCACTGGGCTTTTATATATATAGATGTCATCCAACTCTGGCCAGACTTAAGTTGTTATACCTGACTTGATTAAAACAACAATGGTATTTTCCATGGTTTTAAGAACATGTCACTTGTTTTGTTTAACTTTGTTAAAGTCCTAGCAGGCATGATGTCTGGATTTAATTTTAAAGAAGAGGAGAAAGAATTTAGGACCTATAAATAGCACTAATTTTTAATTTCAATGTCATTCATGAATTTATGTTTTCTTAAAAAATGAAGTATTTCAATTCATATGTTGTGATGTTTCTTAATCCTTTGTGGAAGTATTAACAAAGATCTGGAAGTAAAAGTTTTAACTATAAGAATGGTGAATATAGAAATCATGACCCAGGTCAAATTATAGCACTTGAGCAGTTACAGACAGGAAAAAAGTTGTGATTTTTTTTTTACATGCATATAATTTCTAACATGAGCCATATGGACACCAAAGTCAAGAAATATAGTCTGAATGACATGTAAGAGATTTGTCTAAGATTGTTTTCATAAAGAGGTGAGCTGGGGTTTCAAGGCGCATGTTCTGGCAAATTTCTGCCTTCTCTGAACATTTGCCAGTACTATTTCTGGAGTTTGAAAGAAACACATGAAAAAGATTTGGATCTTTCTAGGGGCATTATGTAATTGGAAGTTGTTGACATACCTATTATCAGCAATTCCTAAAACATTTCCTAACCACAAGAACTACTAATTTTCATAGGAATAATGGAACCCTTCAGGATAGTTCCACCAACTCTAAAAAATTCACCAATTACTACCATCTTTGAGAAGAAAAAGAACAACTCCAATTTTACAAGGCCTCACTCATTCCTAATGTTTTAAATCTATTCTCTGGTACACATTAAGGTGGATTGTCCAACTGAGTTTACTGAAGCCTGAACAGAATAACCCAAACAAATGTTTCTACCTTTGGCTCTTACCCCATCCTCTGACATATCAGCTAATTTATGCCTTCACCACCTTGAACTGCTACTTGCTAGTCCTGAACATGTTACTTCATGCTTCTGCCAGGCATTTCTACTATTGCCTCTTTAATGAAATCCTCATTCTTGAGGCCCAATTACAATGTCATTTACCCTTGCAGCCCTCTCCCATAGCCTTTCTGGGCAGAAAGGTTTCCATGTAAATTTGCATTCTTAGGCTAGAGTTCACGTAATTTGCAATTTTCAAATTTATGATCTGATACGGAGAATAAAAACTTAAGAATTCAAGTTCATAAGTGAATTAATGAAATCCCTCATCAATCTTTTTAATTTAAAACAAAATTTAAAAACGAGTACACTTAAGAAAGAAAATAGAAAAATCCCCTTTAAACACTTTAAATTAGTAATAATGGGTACTACTATTCCAAGTTAACCTCCCTTGTTTATTAGAAACTTCTGAATCTCCCTTCCCTACAGTCTCACATGTTGCTGGTAAATTAATTTTGCTGCAAATGATATGCATACAACAAGGATGTGTGTGGGTTTTTCCTTTCTGTGCTTGGCTCTGCATTCAGGCACATGGCTTTCCCTTTATAACTTAGACATGTGCACCTCTGCCACCTAAGTCCCATCAAGGTCACAGAAATGATGAGTAATTTGGATGCATGCAACGGAAAAAGATTTGGGGAAACTTATTCTCTCTCGGCTGACACTTCTCAAATATGATCACCAATATCCAGAATGACACTGTGCAGTCTCAATGCTGCTGCCCAGCATCATTTGTGCCAAAGCAGATGTTGTCAGCTGGCCCCACACATCTCAAGCTTTCCTCCCCCTCACAGGAGTTGCCAGACTATAGTTCTGGGGCCTGCATTTCCTTTCCCTCATCTTCAAATTTCACTGCAAAAAATTTTCTTTTTCTGCCATCTGCTTTCCCAACCACATTTAAGTATTTCTGAATCTCAAGTTCTTTCCTTTTTTAATTATCCACATCAAAAAGGACTGGGACTAAAATTCTTCCAGTTGGAAATTTCCCCAGAAAAACAAAAACAAAAAACCCTCTGTATTTCTCACAAGAAGTACTTATAGGAGGAAATAGCCTTACTGTGAATGTAGCTTTGCATAACAAGGTTGATAGCTTACATGTTGTACCAACTGTTAATTCACTGAAGGTAAGGCTTACATCACACTCACTCAAATCTCTGGCACTTGGAATCCCTCACTTTGGCCACTGAAACATCACCCCTTTCCCTCTCATTCCCACTGCCACAATGGGAGCCCACATTGTTCATCGCATGGATTCCTATAGCTGTTCCAACCCGGTCTTCCTGCCTTCAGGTTCACTGTCTTTCAGTTTATTATCTTTAGAAAACCAGAAAGGGTCTTTCTACATTATGAATCTGATCGTGCTACAATCTGGTTTAACATTTTTCTATGATTCCCGACTCCCCTCCCTTTTAGGCTCACCACACAGGACACCCTCACTTCACCATTAATTTGTCACTGAACTACTTGCAATTTCCAAAATGCACCATGCCCCTTTAACCCTCTCTGCTTGAAGCGTTTCTACTTTGTTTGCCTGGAGAACCCCTTGTAATCCTTGAGAGTTGGCTTGGTTACCCTCCCTGACTCTCCCCAGGGCAGAAGGCAGGACTCCTCTCCTTGCTCTCTTCTGTGTGGCTCTAACACACACAAGTCACCCTTTCCTTGAGTGCTTTCCCAA